TGGCCTCCCAAAGTGCTGCGATTACAGGCATGAGCCATGGCACCTGGCCTATTATTTTTAATACATAATGTTAATGCTTACTGTTATAAACAAATGTGTGTTCATTGTTAAAAACAAATTGAGGTATTGTGGAAGCTGAAAGGAGACAGCTCTGAGTTTACATTGATAAGACAGGGGGACCAACTCGGTTTTATTTGCCTGGGATGGTCCCAGAGTAAAACAGGAAGTCCTGCATCCTGGAAAACCTCTCAGTCCTGCACAAACCGGGATGGTTGGTCACCCTACAGAACAGCTGGAAGACCCCTGAGGGGACTAATTTCCAATCATTAATACTATGGGGGTCTCAGAGTACCAGGTTTTGGGCTTTGCAGATAAATATACCCGTTTACAGCACTGGATGGTGGAGTCTGGGCCGCACACAGATACGCAAAAATAAAATCACCATTTCTATGGAACTCACTCTTTTTTTTTTTTTACTTGGAGTTTCACTCTTCTTGTCCAGGTTGGAGTGCAATGGTGCAATCTCGGCTAACTGCAACCTCCATTTCCCAGGTTCAAGGGAGTCTCCTGCCTCAGCCTCCTGAGTAGGTAGGTTTACAGGAGTGCGCTACCACGCCTGCCTAATTTTTTGTATTTTTTTTAGTAGAGATGGGGTTTTGCCGTGTTGGCCAGGCTGGTCTTGAACTTCTGACTTCACAATCTGCCCGCCTCGGCCTCCCAAAATGCTGGGATTACAGGCATGAGCCACTGCGTCTGGCGGAACTTGCTCTTAATATGCCTGATGAGTGTCCAACCTCTTTGGACAAGGCCACCCTCTATGTTCCTTTTCACTCAGCTTTACCCACACAGAAATTTTGGGGACCCATGGAGGGCCCAGCAGTTGCCAAGGTCTGCAGCCTCCTCCAAGGGGTTCCCATCTAGCTCTCAAGAGGAAGGAGGGGATTCTCAGTCACCAGGTGGGCATGGCACTCCCGAGGCCAGGTGGGCAGGTAAGTGCCCTGGGGCTTTAGGCTGGTCTGGTTCTTACCGAATTGATCCAGTCGATGTATTTGGAGACCCGTGTGAAGACGGAGGGCTTGTGGTAGTAGTTGCAGCCGAGGCTAGACCCAAAGCTGACGATGCCATGCACCTCCCACCGGCCGTCAGCTGCCTGACAGTTCAGCGGCCCGCCGGAGTCTCCCTGAGGAAGGCCAGAGTTACAGAAGGGTAAAGGGTGAGGAAGGGGCTGCCCATTGGAACCATTATTCTCAAAGCATTTCTATTGTTCTGCTGCAGGTCATTGTCCTCTGAAGCTGGCCCTTGCGGTCAAAGCCCAAGATGGTACCATAATTCCAACAAAAGCCAACACCTATTCTTCCTGTGTGGCCAGAGCTGAGCTAAGCATGTTCTATGCTTTATCTCATTAATCCCCACAAAATCCTAGGAGGTAAATATTCACAGTGTCCCCAGGCCACTGAAGAGGAGAAACTGGAGTGTTGAGAGGTTGGGACTTGCCCAAGGTTGCACAGGCAGTTTGTAAAGGAGCTGAGGCCACATCCCAGAGTTCAGGCTCTTCCCCACTGGCTCTGTCTTCCTGGGGGTGGGGTGGTCTGTGTGGGCAGAGTGTGTAGGGCACAGTGTGATCTGAAGGGCGTGTGGATCTCCTTCCTATTCCATCCCCACTTCACTGCTAAGTCCAACACAGAGCAATTCCTGGTGGTTAAGACACCGTCTCCGGGAAGGCTTCCGTGGCAGCTACCTGGAGGGGACACGCTGGGCCACTGATGAGAGTAATTCAACAGAAAACCCAGAAGTCATCCTAGAAAGGCCCTAAGCCAGGGAATACTTTCCTTTGGTTCCCTCCCAGCATAGAGGAAAGGATACGGAATGACAATCACCAGAGACCTTGATGAGACCCAGGGAAGGACTTCCCAGCAGTGAGAGGGGTGGACACGACAAGGAGAATCTCAAAACAAGAAGAAACAAGAACCATGATCAAGTTTTTGTTTCTTTTTTCACTCTGTCACCCAGACTGGATTGCAGTGGTGTGACCTCAGTTCACTGCAACCTCTGCCTCATGGGTTCAAGTGATTCTCCTGCCTCAGCCTCCTGAGTAGCTGTGACTACAGGTGCCCGCCACCACGCCTGGCTAATTTTTGTATTTTTAGTAGAGACAAGGTTTCACCATGTTGGCCAGGCTGGTCTCGAACTGCTGACCTCAAGTACTCTGGCCGCCTTGGCCTCCCAAAGTGATAGGGTCCAGGCAAGAGCCACAGTGCCTGGACAAAGATTGGGTTCTGATATATCTGGAACATATTTCTAGAGAGTACTTCTGCCAGGAGGAGGGAGGATGGACCTATGGAGGGGTGGACTTCTATAGCCTTATCCGCAGCCACATTTTGTCACTGAGCGGGGCCCCTGATTTTGGTACTCACGAAGCAGCTGGAGGTAACGCCATCACCCCCAGCACAGATCATACAGGGTTTCACGGTGCTGCCCCACCAGTCAGGGCTGGAGCACGTGTCATAGTCCACAACCAACAACCGACCCTGCTGCAGGACATCAGAAGCAGGCCCGTTGGCTGAATGAGATCAGAAAGAAAGCATTAGGGATGCAAGGACTCCTGAGAAAAAGGAAGTGCTTGACCCTTACTGGGTTCCCCTGTTACTGTCTTCCATCCATTGCAATATGCGAACAGCTATGTTTGTCTACACTGTGTCCTCATGGTTGATTGGTTCAGCAGTGAACACCTGACTCAAGCTAAGCCAATGAGCTCCCTCCCCTGGGATCCTGAGATGGGGTCTAAGAGATTCCGGTTTCAGAGGACGTAAATCTGGGAAGCTTTTGGCAATGACTGAGGTTTTGTTTTATGTGGAGAATGAAGTAGACTCACAAAGAAAAGAAATTACAAGGGAGGGTTTCCTGAGTTTCTTACAGGCTTCCAGTCCCTGATTCTAGCCTGCTCCTGATGCCTGGCTATATCTCGGCCCTTGGGTTGAAACTTTTAAATCCTTATAACAATCCCTTTTTTCGCTGAGCTAACTCCATGGCTTTCTTCACTCATCTGAAATAGGAAAGTGAGCCTCCTGGCAGTTAGAGCCGCCTCCTTGGGAAAAATATGCTGGTGTGGTGAAGAGAGGGCTGTCATAATGGCCCCCAATGACACAGCCACCATCACCTTCATTTCTGTTACCACAGCTATGAGTGGCAAGGATGAGAGTAGCATAATTCTTCACTGTCGATTGAAGCCTAGGGAAGTTAAGTGTCAGCCAGGCGCAGCGGCTCACCCTCTAATCCCAGCACTTAGGGAGGCCAACGTGGGCGGATCCCTTGAGG